AAAAAAAAAAAAAAAAAAAAAAAAAAAAAAAAAAAAAAAAAAAGACAGAAATTCGTTCTTTGAAAATCTGGAGTAAAGGGTCCCCACATTCCTTAATTGATTACTTAAACAATTTAACAGTCCCCATTGAAAATCCTACCTTGGGGCTTGACTTCAAATTTGATCTTTGATTTCTTGTTGTGTTTTCCGCCTTACCCTGCTTACTGTAACGATTTATTTAGTGTATAACAGCCCTAATTAGTGATCGTAAGGGTCAATTCAAACGATCTTATAATTGAAATGAGCTGACACTTTGTGTGTGACATAAGACACCTTTTAATAATTGAAGGTTATATGTAACAGCGTGATACGTAATCAATGACGTGCAGAGTACAGCTGTATCACTTATGAGTGGAAGTTGTTCAATTCATTATTGGTGTTAGATCTGTTAACAACTCAGTTATTTGAAATATTGTGCTGGTGCATCTGTGCACCCCATTAGACAGCTCGTGCTACGAATTGAGCAATCGGCCTCCCCCTGTTATAATACACAGCCATAATTTATTGCATTTCCTATATGAAAATAATAAGATAGGAAGAGCGCATCTGTTGATATTGATCTGTTACCTGACTATGCTCTCGTCGTTTTCATAAAACCTACCCAAGCAAACACTTAAAATTCTGAAGATCTCAAAAATAAAACACTTCACCTACCTACGGTGGATACACGTGTTTTCTGTTCAGATACATAGGCGATGATTGCTCAAGCGAAAGGGATATAAAATATCATTCATTAATTTCTACCTTGTATCATCATCGCCTAGTCTATCAAGCCACTAGAGCGAATGAATGGGGAAGAAAGGAAAATATCTCACCTTGTTTGTTTTCTTAGAAGCTTATACCCTGCTTGGAATGCGCAATGGTTTATCTGTGTCACGATCATGTGCGTGTGCTTATACAATTGCGTTTTTGTCAGCAGGAAAATGAAAATTTGTATCGATTTTGTTTTCATAAGACAGTAGACTGCCTGCCGTTTTCTGCATATCTAAGCAAGGAAAATCGACCTGAAGAAAAAGAGCACTCGACTTAGGTCGCATTCGGAACGGTGGACTAACTAGTCCGTGAGTCAGATATAGCGACCTACTAAAAAGTTTGCCGTGTAATCCGCTAATAGACACTGAATAGATTCCCCGTGGAGAAGTATTCAAGTGGGTCGGCCATATTTGACCCTCGAACTAGTTAGTCCACTGTTCTGAATGCGGCCTTAAATGCATTTTAGCATTACATACGCCCAGAATTAAACTGACAAATGTCAACTTGTGTCGTTATCAAAAGGTCATTAGATACTGTAAAAAAGTGTAAATTATCGATTATGCTGATCGTACGTCAGTGAAGAACAGTGAAGAACTGAGATAGTCTCCTTGGGATTCATCTGTCATTACCTTCACCTGGGGCTTAAAAAACCTAGACAAATAAATGGAATCTGGGGAGAACAAACATAGGGCCAAAATAATAATTTAAAAAAAAAAAAAACAGTTCATGGTTTGAGGGGGCCTTGGGGGTGCAAAACGGATTTTCTATGGGAAGCTGCTAAACAAACACACCCATGTTTAGGTTAAAAATCTTTTTTGTCCGGAAGTAAACAAAATGCAAATGCAGGGAACTGACTGTAGATTTTTTTGTGCGTGTTTGTATGTGTGTGTGTGTCTGTGTGTGTGCATGTGTGTAAGAAACTAAGGTCTTTGGAAACGTCAATTTGCTGTAATAGGCCTAACTCGGAAATGTCAAGTCCTCAGGTTCCGCTATTGCAGTAACGAGTATGTCTTTAAAATAAAAACTGTGCAGGTGCTTGCTCACATTAGAAAACGGCCAGGGTCTAGACTTGAACTGGTCTTGAAGATAAAATTCTCACCAATTCCACTCCTAAAAACAGCTACTCGGCTTATCTTAATTCCTATTTTTCGGGGAGTGGGGATGGGGGTTAAAAAGACATACTTCAGGGTATGTATACGTATGTCACTCTGCAACTCCCGTGTTTTATGCAGACACACAATCAATTAGACCCCATTCCCATAGATTTTAGATCGATCTATCCCTGTGGAGAGTCTCACTAGATTACGGTCAGCTTAGCCGGCTTAAGCGTCTGTCCCGCTTACTGAAAGCTGTAAGGGAGTAATTAACTATGGTGCGCGCTCGGCTGACTGTAATATAGCGTGAACCCCCAGGGAGTTAGGTCGATCTAAATCTTAATCTCTGGATCGATCTAAGTCTCTGGGAATGCACCCCTAGTAGTGAAACTACTGTTAACGTCAATGTCACCAAAATTTATAAACATGGAGGACCTGCTACTGGCCGGCGCCTATACTGTGTAGACTCCAACGCGGACGACTTCCTTTCAAGACTGCGGGGTCAAAACCCTGGGCTGACTGGTTTTTAACAAGAATTAATAATCTAAATGTGAATTAATTGTCATAATTAATTGCATGTAATGAGAATTAACAAATAAATCATTATCTACTTGAACATTGTATTAGGCCTACTATGCGGGTGACAAGTGAGTGGTTAGTCTAGTTTGTTTCGACGGGATATCATATGTTACTGATGACAGCAATAGTGGCGGGGAACAGGCGCTTGCCCAACCTGTGATGTGTGTGAAATTATGATATATACCATATCTATGTACATACATAGCTATGATATAGGTTTTAAGTCTTGTGCTTCTAATCTTGTAGACGTAAATACTTTGGGATGGAAATGTGCCTACATTCATTTCAAAACGTCACTTCTTTGCGTGAAAAATGTAACTTGACTTCATACAAAGCCAAGTATAAAGAGAACAAGCAGTCTGCACAGAAAGCAAATATGTACTGAATCAACGACCGATTTAAAAGATTTAAGTCAACTTGATTTTTTATTTGTATTTTCAGAGTTTTTTGTACGGCAATATGATATTTAAATTTCAGAGTTAAAATGCTTTATGTGCAAATGGACTGCGCAGCGCAAGAAGACTTTCTAAATGAAATTCGAATTCAGAGTTGGAACATTTCAAAAATTGGGTGCGGTTTATCGGCACCGCGTATGAAGGTGACAGGCGCCTCGCCGTTTTACTTTTAAGGCTATGCAATCACCCACACAACCTGAACCAGACGAAAAATAATAATCAAATATTAAACTACTGACCTGATTGTTTTTAGCGAAGTTTTCTCAAATCCTTCAGCACAATGATACTGTCTCTACGCAGGTTACGCATTACCGATGCGAACCTGACAACACACAGTATTTTGACAGTATTTTGTTTCGACGCTACAAGCTCTTGTATAATCTCTATGGAGTCGAAGAAATGTGAGAACGCTATATACGGTCGTCTCGAAGCACTGTCACCGAGTTGCCGAAGAGTCTGTAAGACGCAGGCTGGTGACACTTTAACACTTGTTAAAGACCCTACAGCTGCGTTTAACCAGCCACGCTCCCGCAGAAGTCATGACCTCTTCTCGTGTGTGATCGGAGAGAATACGGAGATGACCGACATGAGAACGTCTGCTATTTTGCTCGCAGAAAACTAAGGTAAAATGTACTGCGACAAAATCGTTATCACAAGGTTACGGATCACGCTAGGAAACTGTTCAAGGTGGTCAATTTTTTTCCGGGGAGTGCAGATGCACGAAAGTTGCTTGAGAAGAAAAATATTTATAACTTCATGCAGACCAAAAATATGTGATATATCATTCTGTCTTATGGTTTTTCATGTCAGCCATATATTGTTCTATAAAGAAGCGTTAACATTAAAGACCCAGGGAAGAATTAATAGCAAGATATATTTAGTGAAAATTGATTTTGATTTTTATGAACGTCCATTGTCAACATCACCATTTCCATTTTTACAAACCGCTTTATTTACGTCAGTTTTATAAACTTCTCTTTTGGGATACCACGGGTTACCTCGAATTTTAAAGTAAGAAATTAAAATGTTTAATCGTAGCTAATTCAATTCATATATTAAAATGGTACTCAATCACCAAGCTGTCTTGATGCAATGCATTTGCCTCCTAAATTATCAAATCTACACCTATCTTAAGCAGAAAAGCGATGAAAATTAATTTTTTCCTTTCCTCTCCCCGGAGGCAATGGTAATGCATTACGCTCTCTTACCTGAGGATAATAATATCGATATACGGGGATTAAACACCTCTCGAATAAACAAATATCATCGAATTAATAAGATTCGCGCGGAAAAGCTTTTGGCCAATGTCAATATTAGTCAAATCAGAAAGAAAAGAACGCGCTTCGATTTATCGCCCAAAACAAACAAACGGTTCAAAAACGAAATAAACGCTTTGGCAGGTGCCTTACATTTTGATGTAATGGACAATGACATCTATTATGGGTAATTGAATGCTATATTTTGATAGTTGTTACTGTCGAAGTGACAAAGTCAAAAGAGTTGAAATATTCGTTGTAGGGTATCAGTACACACACCTGTAGGGCCTACTATACCTCCTCTGCACTGGACACAATTGGTATTTTGTGACACTTCCATCGCACCAAATATTCTTTTATCGATGCAAAATATAGGAAGCGTTGAACTGATTTATCGAACTTTCCGGTGAACGGAAAGGGTATGACATCTCGTGTTTGTTTGATTAACTTAATTTAATATTTTTACAGGTTGCTCTTTTTGTGAGTTCAAAGATATCTTAAATAGTTCTTTATATGAAACGAAAAATAAAAGCAGTGAGAAAAAAGGCCATGCTGGGACTACAGACTAAACTGACTGAAGGCTTCAAATGTTTGAAAATAATGCTTACATAGGGCCACTGTTCCCCGATATGTTCGATCTTCAAGACGAAGTCAAAAGCATATGACCCATCTCGAATACACCGAAGGCTGCCAAAAATTTGAATCTAAATTCAAATGTTTGAATCACTGATGACCTAATCGGTCATTAAACTACAGTGGTTTTGGCATTAGGATTTAGGATTTAACCTGATGTAGTATAGATATATTCTCGTTACGGATGACATTATATTTCAAAATAGCGTAGGTTTCTTGACTTGATCTTTGCATAATACAATCTAACTGTGCTATTACACTGCTCGGTGACTGCTCTGACTTTTCGCGTCGTAAGTTAAAACGTTATTTTTTTCAATAATAAGGTGCTAATTTTTGCCATCTTTCTTTCTATTTTGTTTTTTAAAAAGATATCTGATAACTTAAGTGACAAGAATATATTAGTTGACGAAAACCACACGAGCAATTAAGTGGAGGCTAGGATCCAAAATAATTTTTTTATTTTGGATCCTAGGTGGAGGTGATCTCTCTCTCTCTCTCTCTCTCTCTCTCTCTCTAACATAGAATGCGTGTTGTCTTGGCTTCCTGGTGGCTGGCCTCGATATCAATGTAAGCGTGGATAACCAACATGGCGGCGGGTCCGATCGCCGAACGTAATCAAGGTAAGTTTTTCGACATATCTGTTCAGTTAGAGAGAGGAGTTGTGTACACTTGCTTTGTATAGCATCAGAGAAACAACAGAAAATAGATTAAGTGCTTCATTAAGACCATTATTGTGCACTCACATGCTACAGACTCAGTTGTCTTTGCCGGTTGCATTATTTACAATACCATGGGATTTTCATTGTTACTTTTTGTTAAAATTTTCATAAATTTTGTAGACTCATTTTTGCATATTTATCCATAACTTGGTCTAAAATACAGGCACATGATGAGGATATATCCTTATCATTTTTAGATTTTTTGTGTACATTAACCCTTTTAACTTTAACTTAAATTAAACAACTGACGTTAAATGTGTAAGTATAATAATAATAGTAATAATAATAATAATAATCCCGAGTTTGTAGTATTTGTACTTATTTATTACATGTCCGATAAAAGAAATGCTAGATCTGTTCTTTATTACTTTCATTAATTTACCCATACTTTGCTTTGATTACAGATGCCACAGTATATGTTGGTGGACTTGATGACAAGGTGTCAGAAGCAATCCTATGGGAATTATTCCTACAAGCTGGTCCTGTGGGTAGGTAGTGACAGAAAAAAAAGATTGTCCCTTTAATTGCGCTATTCCAGTGAGTGTCAAAGATGCAACACAAATGCACAAGATACACATGAGAATCGCAGTGTGTACACGCATACACACTCACACTCACACACTGATTACATATATTTGTTATTTTTTGTGTTATTTCAGTGAATGTCCACATGTCCTCCAAGGACTGTGTGACTTAAACACACTATAAACATATGGGAATCAAAGCACGCACACGTGCACTTACACACACGCACTCACACACTTTTTATGTACAGACACAGATGTGTCTGTACATATAGCCATCATCTGCGTCTGTCGTCGCCGTCGTCGCCGTCGCCGTGCACTTTTACCGATAACACAATAAGTGGAAAACCATTTTGCCTTTTGATTTGAAACTTGCAGAACTNCAGTGTCAATATTAGTCAAATCAGAAAGAAAAGAACGCGCTTCGATTTATCGCCCAAAACAAACAAACGGTTCAAAAACGAAATAAACGCTTTGGCAGGTACCTTACATTTTGATGTAATGGACAATGACATCTATTATGGGTAATTGAATGCTATATTTTGATAGTTGTTACTGTCGAAGTGACAAAGTCAAAAGAGTTGAAATATTCGTTGTAGGGTATCAGTACACACACCTGTAGGGCCTACTATACTTACTCTGCACTGGACACAATTGGTATTTTGTGACACATCCATCGCACCAAATATTCTTTTATCGATGCAAAATATAGGAAGCGTTGAACTGATTTATCGAACTTTCCGGTGAACGGAAAGGGTATGACATCTCGTGTTTGTTTGATTAACTTAATTTAATATTTTTCCAGGTTGCTCTTTTTGTGAGTTCAAAGATATCTTAAATAGTTCTTTATATGAAACGAAAAATAAAAGCAGTGAGAAAAAAGGCCATGCTGGGACTACAGACTAAACTGTCTGAAGGCTTCAAATGTTTGAAAATAATGCTTACATAGGGCCACTGTTCCCAGATATGTTCGATCTTCAGGACGAAGTCAAAAGCATATGACCCATCTCGAATACACCGAAGGCTGCCGAAAATTTGAATCTAAATTCAAATGTTTGAATCACTGATGACCTAATCGGTCATTAAACTACAATGGTTTTGGCATTAGATTAAGGATTTAACCTGATGTAGTATAATAGAGATATATTCTCCTTACGGATGACATTATATTTCAAAATAACATAGGTTTCTTGACTTGATCCTTGCATAATAAAATCTAACTGTGCTATTACACTGCTCGGTGACTGCTCTGTCTTTTCACGTCGTTAGTTAAAAACGTTAATTTTTTCATTAATAAGGTGCTAATTTTTGCCATCTTTCTTTCTATTTTGTGTTTTAAAAAGATATCTGATAATTTAAAGGACAAGAAAATATTAGTTGACGAAAAACCACACGAGCATTTAAAAAGTGTTGATTGCCTTCCTCCCCTCCCCCTTCTCTCTCTCTCTCTCTCTCTCTCTCTCTCTCTCTCTCCTAAACATAGAATGCGTATCGTCTTGGCTGGCCTCGATGTCAAAGTAAGCGTGGATAACCAACATGGCGGCGGGCCCGATCGCCGAACGTAATCAAGGTAAGTTTTCGGCATATCTGTTCAGTTAGAGAGAGGATTTGTGTACACTTGCTTTGTATAGGAACAAAGAAACAAGAGCAAATAGATAAAGTGCTAAATTAAGATCAGTATTGTGCACTTACATGCTACAGACTCGATTGTCTTAGCCGGTCGCATTATGTCATAATTTACCCATGCCATGGGATTTTCCTTGTTACTTATTGTTAAAAATTTCATAATTTTGTAGACTCATTTTCGCATATTTATCCATAACTTGGTCTAAAATACAGGCACATGATGAGGATATATCATTATCATTTTTAAATTTTTGTGTACATTCACCCTTTTAACTTTAAATTAAACAACTGACGTTAAATGTGTAAGTATAATAATAATAATAATAATAATAATAATAATAATAATAATCCTGTGTTAGTAGTATTTGCACGTATTATTACATGTCCGATAAAAGAAATGCTAGATCTGTTTTTTATTACTTTCATTAATTTGTCCATACCTTGCTTTGATTACAGATGCCACAGTATATGTTGGTGGACTTGATGACAAGGTGTCAGAAGCAATCCTATGGGAATTATTCCTACAAGCTGGTCCTGTGGGTAGGTAGTGACAGAAAAAAAGATTGTCCCTTTAATTGCGCTATTCCAGTGAGTGTCAAAGACGCAACACAAATGCACAAGATACACATGAGAATCGCAGTGTGTACACGCATACACACTCACACTCACACACTGATTACATATATTTGTTATTTTTTGTGTTATTTCAGTGAATGTCCACATGTCCTCCAAGGACTGTGTGACATTAACACACTATAAACATATGGGAATCAAAGCACGCACACGTGCCCTTACACACACGCACTCACACACTTTTTATAAATATTTGTTACTTTTTTGTGTTATTCCAGTAAATGTCCATATGCCCAAGGACCGCGTGACACAAACACACCAGGGATATGGTTTCATTGAGTTCTTGGGAGAAGAGGATGCAGATTATGCCATTAAAATTATGAATATGATCAAATTATATGGGAAACCAATAAGAGTGAATAAGGTAATAGTTTTTTGCATGTAATCGTTCATGGACTAGCAAATTTACTTTTCTGTTGTAAGCTTTTACTTGTGTTCTCATTTTGAGCGGTATATAGAATGGTGTGAAGCAGATAGTTAGTTTAATATACAGCCTGGGTGAATTCCTGTTTAAGAAACTAGAAACTCTTATTCTAGCAACCTGATTATAATTATTATTATTGAATATTATTCAAGACTATTACATATTGAATTATTTCAAAGACAAAGTTTGCATGAATGAGATGAAAACTTAAATATCATGACTTTCTTTTCCCAGGCCTCAGCACACCAGAAGAATTTGGACGTGGGTGCCAACATCTTTATAGGCAATCTGGACCCTGAGGTCGATGAAAAACTGTTGTATGACACATTTAGTGCATTTGGAGTGATTCTTCAGACTCCCAAAGTGAGTGGAATTTCTCATGTAATGCAATAAAATAAAGGAAAGAATAAAGAAAGTCATTTTGAAAATTATGTTGAATGAAGAAAAAATGAGAAAATTAATGTATCATTTAATGAATAGGAAGACATTATTATATTGTAGTTTGTAATGTTTACTTTTGTAATTCAGATTATGAGAGATCCAGATACAGGGAACTCTAAAGGCTACGCCTTCATCAACTTTGCTAATTTTGATGCCTCTGATGCTGCAATAGAAGCAATGAATGGCCAATACTTGTGTAACAGAGCAATCACGATATCATACGCCTTCAAGAAAGATTCCAAGGGAGAGAGACATGGATCTGCAGCAGGTAACTTATCTCCTGGGCCATTATTTTTAGAATAACGTGAGCTGTGACAAATACAGAGCATTTGAGAAATGGACTTTTTTAAGTGATCTTATTTTCCCTCCATTTGCAAAGTTTATTTTTATTCATTAATAGGTAGACCTAAGTTAATACTACTTATAAAAATTGATATTAATGAAAAAAAATACGGCCAAATTTGGAAAGGGGTCTGTCAGTGCTGTCACCAAAACATAAATGCATTAGCATTATGGGATTCACCAGTGCTCAGTCTATACATAAGTTGAAGAACTCCTGTCACTGGCAGCAAGTATCAAACTATCAACTATTTCAAGCAATCTGAAGTGAAGTTGGCTTGAAAAACCTGGGTTTTAGAAACTAAATCATTTTTCAAAGAATAAATTGTTGTTTATGAACAGTATGTACTTAATGATTCTGTGTAAAATTTGAGGGATAGCATTTTTTATCCAAATTATATCCAGTGAAAAAATATAACAGTATGTAATGACTGGCCAGTGTAGACCCAGGCTCAATAGTAGTAGAGCTCTTGCATGAAGTGAGTGTCCTGGATTGGATCCTTGGTCACTATTCAGGCATTTTCCCTCAAATTGTTACAAATATAACATAATTGTATACTGATATTTAAATTTTATTTCAAATTCTCTTTACAGAGCGCCTTCTGGCAGCCCAGAACCCCCTAGCGCAGGCAGACAGACCTCACCAGCTGTTTGCTGATGCGCCACCACCCCCTGCTGCACCTGCAGCTCCAGCTATTCCATCAATGGCGCCTCCACCCCCTCCTCCATCCAGTGTGGGACCTCCTTCTGGTGTTCCTCCACCTCCTATGGGAAGTAAGTATCAACGATCCATGTCTTTATCAAGACATTTTCTAGAACTTTGGTTGCAACTGCCTACAGTAGTGAAATCCATATCAGAAAAGAAAACTGTCAATGTTACTAGTTTCTGGTTGTTGGGGTGTTTAAAAAACACAATCTACAAAGGCTCATTTTAAATTTTTTCTGTAAAATGATAAGTTATTTATTTTTGTTTCAGTGCACCCATCAATGACAGGTGCCCCGCCCCCACCATTTCCCCCACCACCAGGTGGGATGCCTATGCCACCACCCCCTGTACCACCCCCTGGAGGAATGGGCGGATACCCACACCCTCCGATGGGAGTGCCACCCCCAGGTGAGAATATTTATTATACCTGTTCTTGTTGTTGATATGTACTGTATAAATTTTGCGTATAAGCCTTGGTTGTAACTATGATACAAAACTGTCCACAGTACAGTAACTATCATAGTATGTTGGAATATTAATATATTTTGTGCAATGTGAATATCTTTACTGAACAATTAAAAGGTTGGTTTTAAGTGCACTTCAAAACTGACTGAATAAGTCCCATTGATAGAAGACTTTTTCCTCACTCTTATTGCCAGTGTCAAAATATAATAGCATATCTATATTGTTTGTGCAGTGTTCATTTTTCCTTTTTTGGATGAGAAGTTAAAGATAAATATTTGCAAACTGATAGCATTTAAAGTTAAGAATATTTGACCTAATTAATAGGACATAGCATATGTTGAGATGTAAAAATAAATATCTACTGTAGAATTGACATTTTCTTCTTTTAAACTAGGTGGAATGCCACCACCTTTTCCGCCACCTCCAAGACAACCCCCACCCCCAACGTCTGGAGCTCCAACAAGTTCAGCAGGTGGGGCCTCCAATAACAACCAGCCCCCACCGCCTCCTAGGCCACCTGGTGAGTAGACATCAAACTAAAAGACAGGCCAATAAATGAATAAGTGTGTGTGTTTGTGTGTGTGTGTGTGTGTGTGTGTGTGTGTGTGTGTGTGTGTGTGTGTGTGTGTGTGTGTGTGTGTGTGTGTGTGTGTGTGTGTAAATTTGAAAGGTATATATGTTGATAGATTGTTCTCTGAAATTAATGACTGAATGAAATGAAAATCACAGTCATGTTTTTCATTGCACATTTTAGGAAAATAAAAAGATAAACAATTAATAAATAAAATAAATGTATTTATCAATTGTAATTGCAGGTTTAAATAGTATATTTGTGGCATGGAGCATATTAATGAGTCTGACTATTTTCAGGTCCACCGCCTCCAGGTTGGAACCAGGGGTGGAACATGGGACCTATGGGTCCCCCCGGCATGCCACCCCCTCCCGGGATGAGACCTCCCCCTGGATGGAGAGGACCACCCCCCAGAGGACCACCTCCACCATTTAGTGAGTACATTTGTTATTCTCTCTCTCTCACTGTTTGCACTGAAACCACTTTTTTCTGCTTGTGCTAAAGCCACTCCCTCTCTCTCTCTCTCTCTCTCTCTCTCTCTGTGTGTGTGTTTGTGATAAATCTTTCTCTCTCTGTAATGTTTACTAAGGGTAATTTGTGTAAATAATTTGTGTGAATATACTTCTGCTACATGGACTTCACACATAATATCTTCATATGAACTGTTCACACACCTATAACATACTTAATCTGACAGTCCCAGTCCCTCCAAAAATGCTTCATACAGCCAGACTGTTTGAATATCGAGATACGCAATAGTATAGGGTTATGGGCTGGACAATTACACAATGGGATATTTATTGCTGCCACGACTTTTTGATCAAAACTTCCAATTTTTTCTTCCAGTGCGCGGACCCCCACCTCGTGGGATGCCACCCCCCAGGGGCATGAGACCTCCACCCCCAAGAGGACCCCCAGGAATGCGACCCCCTCCCCCGCCACCGCCACCAGCTCCTCCAAGACAACCGAACAACAACAGCAGCAGCAGCAACAACAGCACCAGTTGGTGATCAGGTTGATATGTGAAGTGACAGAGGCTTTTGAATTCCTCAGTTTTGAGAGAAACTGGGTTATGATACAGTGGCTTAACTGGGACAGACAGGTCTCTGTGTAGATACAAAAGAGATACTTTTGTCTAAAAGGCAGCTGATATTTACTCCGTCTACATTTGAGAATGTGACAGTTTGCTTTTTAAGGCAGAGACGTAGTGGAACTGTGAACTGATGGAGAGAAACAAATACTTATTCTGATGAAAATTCATCTGTGGATTTGTCTAAAGTTATTACAATTTAAGTTAAAACAGTCTAATTTGTACACAGTTTCTGGAAGCCACTTTCAGACTTTTCAGTCTCATTAAAGTTATTTATATGTTTAGAGATAGGCATATTAAGTTTCAGAACTGTACACTTGAAAGAGGAAATTGTTTGGAGGTGTGAAGCCCAAGTGATGTTACTTTTCTCTTGTGTGACAAGACTCAGTTCAGGGACCAATTGTATTGTATGGGAATGAACAGAAAGATAAAAACTATTGTTATTTCAAAAACAAATTGTGTGATTATTTGTCACATAGACTGTAATTATATTAAAATATTACATGTTTATCCTTACTGCAGGATGGGGCTGCTACTTTTTTACTGTTCTTTTAAGAACTTCAAAAATGTGCCCTTTTCAAAATGAGATATGACAATTGTATTTCAATTTGATTTAGTTCTGTTGTCATTGTCATCATGAAATGGAGGCTACAGTGCTTCTCGATAGTAAACCTTGCGTACTGACCTTGAAAGCTGAGGTTCTTTCTTTCATTAATGAGTAAAATTTGCTGAAAACCAAGCATTGAAAAACAAACACCAGTGCATGATTTTCAGAATCTTTATTACAATACCTCATACAGACTGTTTGATTGTAACAAGATAGACAATAGCATTATGGGATGGACAATAATATTATGGGATGGAGCAGGACAGGCTTTTGATCAATTATTCACATTTGCTCTGTTTATTTTACACTTGAATAAAAAATGTCGTAATGTGCAAAAGATTTAATTTAATATAAGTGAAGAATTCATCTTCCTGGCTTTCGAACTTTTATAGGCCTACATGCAAGTCATGTAAAATATTGTTTCATGTATTTTGAAATGCTGACTTTCATAATGCTGCTTTCACAATTGTACCAGACTTTACAATTCTGGGTGAAATAAGCTCTTCAAAATATTTTGAAGAATATTTTCCTTTCAATATTACTCTCCCATGTAGTGTACCCCCCCTTCCCAGCATCTTTACAAATCATAAGTGAGCTGTACAGGGTATAATAACAACAATATTACAGACAGAAAAATAAATTTTCTGGAAGATAGATATTTACAATACATAATGTACAGTTTTAATAAATATGGAATTAATGAAAAAGAACACAAAATATGGCAGCAAAAATCTTGAAGTTTGACAGAAATCCACCAGCTTTTAAGATAACACCTGACAGTGACTGTGTATTACTCTTTGTGTCACCTGCTGATTTAAATATTTTTAAAAAGTTTCCACTCTGAAGCAGTGACATTTAAATAGAGTTACTTAGCGTTAATGCACAGCATACAATTTATGGTAATGACATAACCAAATGTCTTTTATGCAGTGATTAAGCAGTTTTACTTTTGTAAACGCCATTTGGTTACAAGTCCAGCATAGTCCACGGGTCATCTGTGACAACTCAGTTAAACTGAATTTTAAAAGGAGTGTTTAAAAACCTCTATTTTATTGTTGCATTTTTTTATCTTTAAAACTAATCAGGTTCAACCTATAAAGAGGATGCAATTATTTAAAATTATTTATGCTCTTAAAATGCAGTAAAACAATTTGCTTCACAAAGGATGTTAACTTTGCCACATTAATAAAATCCATATTCAGCAAACATAGAAACTACACCCAATGTGCACCTGAATTATTACAATTTGTGTTTAAAACATAATTACTTTTAAAAATGCAACAACAGAAAGATTAGAGGATTGTGATTATAAGCTTGCCCCATACACTATCATTAGCTCATATTTTCACCAACCCAGAACCATTATTCATCACAATTTTTTCACTTCTCACAGCCACTTTTGCTTTGTGAATTGACTTGGACAAATGCAAAACCCATTTTCAGTGGACAATATGACTCATTTATCAATTATATCAATCATTATTTAATCATTATTATTATAATTAAAATACTTGAGCAGCATTCTTATGTAAAGTCTGCCAGATGAGATTGTCTTCTTCATTTGGAACAGAGGTGTCCATACTTCTTCAAGATTACTTTGCTTGGTCACCACATAGAACTGGCATTTCAGATGTTTCTCTTAATTTTGCAAAGGATGTCCTCAAAGAATGTCTATTCCTTTGCTTTAATTCAAAGAGAAAACCCCACAGGTATGTCTGAGAAGTTCATAATTCAAACATAGTTTCCTGTTTTTCTAAGAGAATGAGTGAAAGTCTGTTTTCAAATGTTCATTGTCACCCCTGGTGTCAAACTTGCACAAGATGTGTCTGTGATTCAAAGAAACTTTGTTGCTCTCCTTTTAAAGTTTTCAGTGAAAGAAAACTGTGTGTTAGCCCTCTACAACAAATAGCTTCAATATTGTCCGAGGTCAACTGCTTTCACTTGTGGTGAAAACTGTTTGTTAAGATGAATCTGCCTAGGAAAATATATTCATTACCAGCTAGACAACACAGCTTTGGCTTATGGTCATGTGATCACACAGTTGCCTCGGGACTAATGTCCGCCATAACTGTCCGTAACCTGTGGATCTCTTTGTGCGCTGTTTGCAATTCTGTTGAAAGACGGATTTCTTTCTCTTTTAATTTTTTGATTTCTTTCTGATTTGTCTGAAAGTTGAAAAATGACAATGTACGTTACACAAATAATCAATGCATTCTTGTTAATACTCTAAAATTATCAAGTTCCCTTCAAATCAAATGCCACAGGAGGTAATTGCCACTTCATTTTCAGAGGAACTAAAACTTCCAGGAAATAATGTTACATATTCAAATCACCAATTATCACCTAGAAACTGTTAAAAGTAATTACATGTATTCTACATTGACAAAAGTCTTTTCAGAAAATGCCTACAATTCAGCACTTCATTATTTCACAGTTTATCCACAGTTTAAAAATATTCTACAGCTTTCTGCAGAAATAGTCTTTTGATCTTAGGGTGCTTTCCCAGAGATTTAGATCGATNAGATATTTACAATACATAATGTACAGTTTTAATAAATATGGAATTAATGAAAAAGAACACAAAATATGGCAGCAAAAATCTTGAAGTTTGACAGAAATCCACCAGCTTTTAAGATAACACCTGACAGTGACTGTGTATTACTCTTTGTGTCACCTGCTGATTTAAATATTTTTAAAAAGTTTCCACTCTGAAGCAGTGACATTTAAATAGAGTTACTTAGCGTTAATGCACAGCATACAATTTATGGTAATGACATAACCAAATGTCTTTTATGCAGTGATTAAGCAGTTTTACTTTTGTAAACGCCATTTGGTTACAAGTCCAGCATAGTCCACGGGTCATCTGTGACAACTCAGTTAAACTGAATTTTAAAAGGAGTGTTTAAAAACCTCTATTTTATTGTTGCATTTTTTTATCTTTAAAACTAATCAGGTTCAACCTATAAAGAGGATGCAATTATTTAAAATTATTTATGCTCTTAAAATGCAGTAAAACAATTTGCTTCACAAAGGATGTTAACTTTGCCACATTAATAAAATCCATATTCAGCAAACATAGAAACTACACCCAATGTGCACCTGAATTATTACAATTTGTGTTTAAAACATAATTACTTTTAAAAATGCAACAACAGAAAGATTAGAGGATTGTGATTATAAGCTTGCCCCATACACTATCATTAGCTCATATTTTCACCAACCCAGAACCATTATTCATCACAATTTTTTCACTTCTCACAGCCACTTTTGCTTTGTGAATTGACTTGGACAAATGCAAAACCCATTTTCAGTGGACAATATGACTCATTTATCAATTATATCAATCATTATTTAATCATTATTATTATAATTAAAATACTTGAGCAGCATTCTTATGTAAAGTCTGCCAGATGAGATTGTCTTCTTCATTTGGAACAGAGGTGTCCATACTTCTTCAAGATTACTTTGCTTGGTCACCACATAGAACTGGCATTTCAGATGTTTCTCTTAATTTTGCAAAGGATGTCCTCAAAGAATGTCTATTCCTTTGCTTTAATTCAAAGAGAAAACCCCACAGGTATGTCTGAGAAGTTCATAATTCAAACATAGTTTCCTGTTTTTCTAAGAGAATGAGTGAAAGTCTGTTTTCAAATGTTCATTGTCACCCCTGGTGTCAAACTTGCACAAGATGTGTCTGTGATTCAAAGAAACTTTGTTGCTCTCCTTTTAAAGTTTTCAGTGAAAGAAAACTGTGTGTTAGCCCTCTACAACAAATAGCTTCAATATTGTCCGAGGTCAACTGCTTTCACTTGTGGTGAAAACTGTTTGTTAAGATGAATCTGCCTAGGAAAATATATTCATTACCAGCTAGACAACACAGCTTTGGCTTATGGTCATGTGATCACACAGTTGCCTCGGGACTAATGTCCGCCATAACTGTCCGTAACCTGTGGATCTCTTTGTGCGCTGTTTGCAATTCTGTTGAAAGACGGATTTCTTTCTCTTTTAATTTTTTGATTTCTTTCTGATTTGTCTGAAAGTTGAAAAATGACAATGTACGTTACACAAATAATCAATGCATTCTTGTTAATACTCTAAAATTATCAAGTTCCCTTCAAATCAAATGCCACAGGAGGTAATTGCCACTTCATTTTCAGAGGAACTAAAACTTCCAGGAAATAATGTTACATATTCAAATCACCAATTATCACCTAGAAACTGTTAAAAGTAATTACATGTATTCTACATTGACAAAAGTCTTTTCAGAAAATGCCTACAATTCAGCACTTCATTATTTCACAGTTTATCCACAGTTTAAAAATATTCTACAGCTTTCTGCAGAAATAGTCTTTTGATCTTAGGGTGCTTTCCCAGAGATTTAGATCGATCTAAAGATTAAGTTTTAGATCGACCTAACTCCCTGGGGGTTCACGCTAAATTGCAGTCAGCCGAGCGGGCACCATAGTTAATTACCCCCTTACAGCTTTTAGTAGGCGGGACAGACGCTTAAGCCGGCCAAGCTGACAGTAATCTAGTGAGACTCCCCACAGGGATAGATCGATCTAAAAATCTATGGAAATGGGGTGTTACTTTACGAAAATAATGTTTTAATTCTTACCGCATTCTGCTTTAGTAGGTCTGATTTCTCATGCTTCAGTTTGCCAATGTCCACTTTCAGAACTTCTATCTGCTTTAAAATATCTGTAAACAAATAAAAGGACAAACTTTTACAGTTAATTGAGAAATACATCTTCTACTCTATTTATAAATGTACTACAAAAATGCCTTCTCAGTTAAAACATGAAACTACATGATGTGCCACAGAATTGAAATTCATTCTTCAGCTAAGGTGATTTCACTTAGAATAGATTCAGATTTAATGATAATGTATCAAAGTATTTTTATCCAATTTAATACTTCTTTTCAAAATCAATTCTTTTACAAATCATTCTCAAAACTCGTAACTGGTATACCTACCTTCATCTGTCATAAATGCTAAACTTGAGTGGTCCTCACTGAAGCTGTGGGAAAAGGATATTCTTTTACAATTTGGGGTCTCAGCAGATGACATGCTCTCCTAAAATGATAAAAAAAAAATAATATAAAAACAGTAAAACCACCTTTCTCATAGTCACAATATCATTTACAATGTTTAATTTACTTTGCTGGGAACCACTGAGCAGGTCAAGGAAAGCAACCACCCACAAACCCATACACTCCCTCCCCCATCCTTGTCTGCTCACCTACCTACAAACACACATTTCACTTCTCTTCCCCCCCCCCCGCCACCTACGTGCTCATTCTGTATTTTACATGCTTTCCATCTACTACCTTCTACTTATCCACCCAGACACCCCACAACCAGACACCCCACACACCCATTTACTCCCCCACCCACCCCACCTTCATTAAACACCCATCTGCCCACCTACCCACCCACCTCACCTTCATTAAACACCCACCTGCCCACCTACCCACCCACCCAACCTTTATTAAACACCCATCT